CTTTTATCCATTGAGTTTGCTCTGCTATTCAATGAGATCATGGCTGATTTAATAATCCTCAACTCCACTTCCTTGCCCTTTACCCATAAATATTGATTCCCTTACTAATCAAAAGTTTGATTTGATTTATTCTTGTCATATGTACTGAGATATAGTGAAAAATATTGTTGTGCATACTAACCAGACAAATCATACCTTACATAGTACATCAAGGTAAGAGAACAGAATGCAGAATATAGTGTTACAGCTACAGAAAGATGCAGAGAAAGATCAGCTCTAATATGAGAGGTCCATTCGTAAGTTTGATAACAGCAGAGAAGAAGCTGTTCTTGAATCTCTTGGTATGTGATTTCAAACTTTTGTATCTTCCCAATGGAAGAGGGTAGAAGAGAGTACAACTGGGATGGGAGGGGTCTTTGATTATGTTGGCTGCTTTCCCAATGCCAAAGTTTGTCAATCTCCACCTTAGAGTTACTTGACAACAGATTCCTGGTAAAGTATTCCACAAATTCACTTCCTCTGAGAGAAGAAATTTACATCAATGTTCACCATAGAGAAGGACTTGGTGGATGATGATTCTGGGGAAGAGTGTGTAGATAATTTGGGTCATGTTGAGATCAAAAGGAAGGAGGTATTGGGGATCTTGAAAAACATTAAGGTAGACAAGTTCCCAGGGCCTGATGGGATATACCCCAGAATACAGAGGCAAGGGAGGAAATTGCTGGGGCCTTGAGGGAAACCTTTGTATCCTCACTGGCTACAGGGGATGTCCCGGAGGATTGGAGAATAGCCAATGTTGTTCCTTTGTTTAAGAAGGGTGGCAATGATAATCCAGCTAATTACAGGCCGGTGAGCCTTACGTCAGTGGTTAGGAAATTATTGGAGAGGATTCTTCGAGATAGGATTTACTTCCACCTGGAAATCAGTGGGCGTATTAGCGAGAGGTTACATGGTTTTGTGAAGGGGAGGTTGTGTCTCACTAACTTGATTTTTTTTTGAGGAAGTGACAAAGATGATCAATGTGGGTAGGGCAGTGGATGTTGTCTACATGGACTTCATTAAGGCCTTTGACAAGGTCCCTCATGGCAGGCTGATACAGAAGGTAAAGTCGCACGGGGTGAGAGATGAGCTTGCAAGATGGATAAAAAACTGGCTCACCATAGAAGACAGAGGGTAGCAGTGGAAGGGTGCGTTTCTGAATGGAGGGCTGTGACTAGTAGCATTCCTCAGGGATCAGTGTTGGGACCTTTGCTGTTTGTAACATGTGTAAATGTTTTGGAGGAGAATGTAACTGGTCTGATTAGTAAGTTTGCCGATGACACAAAGGTTGGTGGAATTGCAGATAGCGATGAAGACTGTCAAAGGATACAGCTGGGGTCGGTTGGTGATTTGGGCAGAGAGATGGCAGATGGAGTTTAAACTGGAAAAATGTGAGGTAAATAGCAGAACCCCTAAGAGTACTGATAGGCAGAGGGATCTGGGTGCACAGGTACACAGGTCACTGAAAGTGGCCACACAGGTGGAAAAGGTAGTTAACAATGCTTGCCTTCATTGGCCGGGGCAATGTGTTAAAAAATTGGCAGGTAATGTTGCAGCTTTATAGAACCTTAGTTAGGCCACATTTGGAATGTTGTGTTCTCTGGTCGCCACACTACCGGAAGGATATGGTAGCTTTGGAGAGGGTACAGAAAAGATTTACCAGGATGTTGCCTGGTACAGAGGGCATTAGCTATGAGGAGAGGTTGGAGAAACTTAGGTTGTTCTCACTGGAATGACGGAGGTTGAGGGGCGACCTGATTGAGGCCTACAAGATCATGAAGGGCATAGACAGAGTGAACAGTCAGAAGCTTTTTCCCAGGATGGAAGAGCCAGTTACCAGAGGCTATGGGTTTAAGGTGCGAGGGGCAAGGTTTAAAGGTGATGTACAAGGCAAGTTTTTTTACGCAGAGGGTAGTGGGTGCCTGGAACTCGCTGCCAGGGGAGGTAGTGAGGCAGGTACAATAGTGACTTTTAAAGGGCATCATGACAAATACATGAATAGGATGGGAATCGAGGGATACGGTCCCCAGAATGGTAGGGGGTTTTAGTTGTGATGGGCAGCACGTCAGTGCAGGCTTGGAGGGCCAAAGGGCCTGTTCCTGTACTGTAATTTTCTTTGTTCTTTGCTCCTCCTTATCTCTATCTTAAATGACTCTTTATTCTGACGTTACGCCCTCTGATCCTAGGCATTCCTACAAGGGGAAACAGCCTTTCCAGATCAAACATCAAGAAGCCTAAGAATCTTGTATGTTTCAATAAGGTCACCTTTCTTTCTTCTAAATTTCAATGACTGCAGGCTCAACCTATTCAATTGTTCCTCAAAGGACAATCGCCCATACCTGGGATTGGGCAAGTGAACTTTCTCTGGACTGCTTCCAATGCCAGTATATCGTTCCTTGGACAAGGGGACCAAAAGTGTTCACAGTATTCTAGCTGTGAACTGACTAGTCCCTTGTGTAGTTTTAGGAAGCCTGTCTGATTTTAATGCCCTGTTTCTTTTCAAATAAGGGCCAGTATTACATTTGCCTTACCTATTAGCTGCTGAACTTGTATGCGAGATTTTTTGTGAGTTGTGCACAATGACACTCCTGTACTGTCGCTTTCTGCAGTTTTTCTGTGTTTAGATAATATTCTGCTCCTCCATTCTTCCTGCAAAAGTGAATAATTTCACATTTCCCCCATTATGTTCTGTCTGCCCACTCACATGTTTTGCATACTTACTTCACTTGTTTATCTCCCTCCATAGACTATTTGAGTCATCCTCAGCATTTGCCTTCCACCCTATCATTTGTGTCATCGGAAAACTTGTTTATAGTATATACATTTTCTTCATCCAATTAATATTTATAATTGATATAATAAATAATAGTGACCCCTGCACGGATTACTGTGGCAGTCCACCAGTTACAGGTTGCCATCAGAAAACCCTCCCCTTATTCCAACTCTGTCATTTATTAGTTAGCTAATCCTCGAATTAGTCATGCTAATATACTACCCCCAAAACCATGTACTCTTATCTTATTGAGTGTCTTAACATATGGACCTTATTAAATTTCTTCTGAAAATACAAATGTATTGCATCCTGTGGTTCCCCTTTATCTCTCCGATTTGTTACTTCCTCAAAGAATCCTAATAAATTTGTTAGGCATGTTTTCCCCTTTGTGAAGCCATGCTGACTCTGTTTGATGATCTTGTGTTTCTAAATGCTCTGCTATTACATCTTTCGTAATAGACCCTAACATTTTCCCAATAATAGATGTTAAGCTAACTGGCTTGTAGTTACCATTTTTTTTTTGTCTGTGACCCTATCAGTAGCAAGCATGGAAGAGAAATAGCCAGTAATTGGATGAGCAGCTGCTCACCATTTTCTCCCATTTGTTCCATGAGTGACTTCGACAGATAATTTTGGGGGCATTGATTTGCTTAATGCCCTCTCTATTTTGAGTGCTGGAATACCTGAGATTTGGATGTGTTCTAACAGTTCTAAGGTATACACTTTTGGCTTTGTGCTACAAAGATGCCAAAACCCACCTCAGTGGAGGCAGCTGATAGATACTGAAGAAGAGTCATACTGGACATGGAATGTTATCTTTGTTTCTGTTTTTACAGACAGACCTGCTGAGTTTCTCCAGAAATCTCTTGTGTTAGCTAAAACATTAAATGGCCATCTGCCTCTATGAAACCTGCATGTGCAGTACCTGAATTGTCCCTATTCTCAACCCTGGCTCTCCTTAATATCGAAAGTCAGGGTGTTAGATTTTTGAATAACTGTTAAAACTCAATTTCCATTCTGGTGCAATTTTATTCTTTGAAGAAATTTCTTCTCCAGGTACGTGTTCCATTCCCTCCTTTATTCATTGTGGAGTTTTTGAGATCTGTTTATTTAACCAGAACTTTGAGTATTACTGAAAGAAGACATTTTATCAAAGCTTTTTGACTCATGTCCTTATGAATGCAAGATATAAAGCTTTGACAAAATGTCTTTTTTTACCAATATTCAAGTTCCGTACTACCAAACAACAATTTTATTTTATATAACAGTAGTCTATCTTTGCAAGACAACTTAATTTGAAAGTGTAGATTGGCATGTGGGGTTGATCTTGTGTAGTATGGGTACGAAATACGAACAGGAGTAGGCCGTTTGGCCCCTTAACTTTGCTGGGATCATAGCTGATCTGGTATTCCGTATCTTCATTTTCCTGTCCATTCCGTGTCACCCTTGATATCTGTATTGATCAAGAATGTATCTATCTCAGCCTTAAAGATACACAAGGACTCTGCCCACATAGCTGTCCATGGCAGTTTTTTCCAAAGAGTGTCAACCCTTAAAGAAGGAATTCCTCCTCATCTCAGTCTTAAATTGATGCCCCTTTTATTCTGAAACTGTAACTTTTGGTCTTAGACTCTCCCATGAGGATAAACGTCCTCTCAGCATTTATCCTGTCATGCCCCTTAATAATCCTATATGTTTCAACGAGATGACCTTTCATTCTTCTAAATTCCAGAAAGTCCCAACCCCTCCCCACTAGGAACCTTCCTGAATACCTGCTGCACCTGTGTTCTAGCTTTCTGTGTTCATTTATGCAAGTACCTCTAAATTCCTTTGTTTTGCAACTTTCTACTTTTTTTTCCCCCCATTTAAATGGTATTCTGTTCTTTTGTCTCCCTTCCAAAATGAACAACTTCACATTTTACCACATGATATTCCATTTGCCAACTTTTTGCCCACTTACCTAGTCTATTAATATCTCTGTGAAGATTTGGAAGAGCATCTGATGAATAATATGACTTCAGAGAAGAAAAGTAATAAAAAGATACTTCTGGTGAATTTTTACCAGTTGATTCATAATCTCAACTAAAATTAATAATTTGTTTAAACTCCTGTTTAACATTGCTGTGTATGCTTCATTTAATTGCACTTTTCTGAAGGTATTAAAACTTAAAAAATTTTTGCTTTCCAGCTGGAACAATATCTGGAGAGGAAGTACCTATAATCTCAAAAGCAAACATTAAAGAGTACAGAGATGGCTTTTCTTATGAGAAGTTTAATTTTCGCAACAATCCAAATATCACATTCTACGTATATGTTAGCAACTTTAGTTGGCCCATCAAAATACAGGTGAGTGATTTTTGAAAAGGTGGAGTTGTAAATCTTCAATGCCTACTCAAACCAGATGTGAAATAATTGATTCACTACCCATAAATTGTGAGTTATCTTACAAATAAAGCATTCTAAATACTGTAAGTTACTCTTTAACTTAGTTATTATAATAATGGTATTTTTATTTTATACTGAAAACCTGTGAACATTTGTCACTCGGGTCATAAAATTAATGAAGTGCCAAGTTGCAATAAAAGAATTAAGAGATTATTAAAGAGTAGTTTTATTCCTCCATCAATTTGCTTTAACTGCCACACCCAGTTATTTATTGCATTGGTTTGTCTTTTTATGTTCCCTGTGAGTATTATTTATGTTAACCTGAGTTGTTAATGTAAATCCACTGCAATGTTAGGATGAGCTGCAGGGGAATTTCTATTTGATGATATTGATACATAATTTCAATTTATTTCCAGAGGATGGGTTATAATTCAAAGGACTAAGTTGGTGTATGGACTCCTATGTCCACAGTTGTATAATGCAGCTTAATTATTGTTTTATTGCTCCGTAATGCCAAATAATGGCTTGAAGTAAGCTGTTTAAATGTCTGGTGGAGTTGCATGATATGAAGAATTGCCATCATTTATTAATGAGGTAACAAATTTGGAGACTCTAAATTGAAGAAATCATAAAGCAATCTTGAAAGCAATTATATAGTTTGTTACATCTTTTAAAGTTTGTATTAAAGTAGTGGAAATTCTGTGATGTTTCAGATTACTTTTTGCTGATGCACATAAAGCCATATCTGGAATCATTTATTTGTAATTTTATCAGAGCAAAGGCCTGTGTCTTTTGTCGTGTGGAGAAAACAAGGCAAAGGACTATGTGTCGGTAAAACAATAGATAAACATCAGAGAGATGATGTGATTATGATCCTGGACTAATAATCGAGAGGTTTCAACAGAGACTACGAGTTTCAATCCTGCCATATCTGTTTGAGAATTTGAATTCAGTTTTCTAACTGCTTAAATGTAAAAGCTGTTATAAATAGGCCTGACTGAAACATCCATTTTAAAAATCTGATTGGTTCACTGATCTCCTTTAGGAAATGAAATTGCCTGTCCTCAGCTAGTTTGCTTTATATACTACACCAGTCCCAGCAATGTGGTTGACCCCTAACAGCCCTCTGAAATGCCTTAGCCATCCATTCACTGACTAGCAATAACAAGAGGTGAGTCAAGAAGAATGCTCATCATCACCTTCTTAGGGAAAGATCTAGAGTCTGAGCAATAAATTACCATTCGCAGCCGGAGAATAATGTTTTAAAATGTATGAAATGGTACACATCTACTACAGGATAACTCCTGAAGTAATTATTCTGCAGATAAATAGAATCACTGATAATCCATTGTAACATTGATGTTGGGGGATCCAAAAAATTGGGACCACATTACACCACACTGCTGGACTGCGGTATATCTATACCCCTTTAATGACAAAACTGCTATTTTCAAGTCACAAAATGTAAATTAACTAAAAATTTACATGCTATGGGAGACATAAGACCCCAGCACTATATAAAAATATTACAGTACGTTGAACTGTGTTATAATGGACTTCCACTACACTATTGAAAAAAAAATTGAAGAATGTCTTAATTACATCTAATGATGGTCAGTTAAAAACTCAGTTTTTCTTTATTGATGACATGGATGCTAAAGTCTAGATCAGTGATCAGAAACTTCCAGAACAAGATAGTGAATATTCATCAGTTGTTTGCATGTTACCAGACAACTTCACTTGAATACATCAAGAATTGTTGGTGTTGGGGATAAATATTTGACATAACTCATGGAGCAGCTATTATTTTAAGGTTTAATTTCAGTTTAAGATGTACGATTGGGGCAGAGTAGAAAATATTTTATTCCAGCTTAAACCTCTGCTACTTGACCTTGTAATGCTTGATGCTTACATTAAACATGAGTGTGAAGTATTATTCATCAGTTTGGAAAATTCACACTTTAGTGAGAAACGTGAACTGAGTATTGAACCTAACCTCTACATTCACTATAGTGCAACACAAATTTGATGTCTTTGCATTTCTTTCTTAATGATAGTTGTTTAGTCACTAGATGGACAGTTATTACTCATACTGTAAGAAGTCACTATAATATTTCTAAAATACTGAGTCATTTATTGAATATTATAGAAATGATTTCTCTTTTACGAATGTTCCCATACCAACTTTCTGGACCAAACACAAGACAGCAAATGTTAACTCTACAAAGAGGTATTGCAAGCACAAGCACTGGAACAAGACATTAGTGGGTGACTTCATGACCCATGTACCCAAGTGTGTGAAGGTTAAACAGGATGTCCTGGCAAGCAGTGAGCCATCAGGTGATTTGGGCTTCCAATGGAAATAGGATGACATTTAAAATCTATTTTTCCCAATAACGTTAATAAATGACTGACAAAGCCTCCTAGAAATAAGATGTATAAACAGACTGTCGAATGAGAAAGATGAAGAATGAACGTGGGCTTCTCAAGCTGGACTGATGTTGCTCCACGTTATCTTGGTTAGCTTAAGAAGGCTGAAGGAAAGAGAATAACTGTAACTTCCAGTTCTCCTTGGTATCTCAGCTGACTTAAGGAGACAAGGGATAAAGAGACAAGACAGTTATTAGCAAAAAGAAAGGATTCTGTTACTTGCAGCTGCGCAGATTAGCCTCATTCCATTTTCTGATTTGGGACCAACAGATCATTTTGGGGAAATAGTCGCTGTCAGCCATGAAGATCAGCAATCCCCATTCCCCTCATCCTTTTATTGACTCAGGATCTACCACCTGTTATAGATCATGTGTCTTTTCTACCGACTTAGCTTATGTATTAGATCTGAACTGTTTCTATGCTGTTTTTTAAGCTGTCTTTTCGGTCAGTTGTGAATTCTCATCTGCCTGTTTTGATAATCATGATTCTTGAAACTTATCTTACATTCCTTTATTGACCCTGAAAGGATGAGAAAAGGCTACCTTCTTGACTACAACTGAATGACTTGCTAGCCTATTTCGGAAAACCAACCAAAATTGCTTTAGATCTGCAGTCACATGTAGGCCAAACTAGAAAAGGATGTCTGATTTTCATCTCCCAGGGACATTAGTGGACCATTGAGTTCTTACAATTATATGTCAATTTCATCGACACTGTTGGTGCCATATTTTTATTCAGTGATATGCAAAATCCTCATTTGCACTTCAGGTTTTATTGATAAGCAATGTAGCATTAATTAATTGCTGAAATCTCATGTAGCTGCAAAATTATTACAGATGTTAATGGATGACTGGTTAGCACATTCACTGATTTATATTTTTCATCTCTTTTAATGAAGTGTTGACTCTGCACTTTAGCCAAAGTGCTAACCAATATTAAAACAGTAAGCAGAGAAGTGTGATAGGAATCTGTTAAGTGTTCATCCATTAATCTTGGTTCAGCATTTTCCATGCTGACAGCTGTAATTCGTAAAATACATATATCTGGATCAAAGCCTCCTTTGTGGAGTTTGGTTTTCTGTGCAATTTAAAAGGAGACCCTCAATAGGTCTCTGGAGTTTGTTTTTGAATTTCTTCCTCAACCATCTTTCTTTCTTTAATCTTGATTTCTTGATTGTGCTGGCTTACACTGATGCGCAGTTCTAGGAAATGGTTGAAGCCCTCCAGAAACTGTTGGTTCCCCTTCATTTGGGCTTCCAGTGCGAGATGGTGACGGAATAACAGGGCTGCGTGCGGACATTTGCCTGGGACCCATCTGCTTTCCTTTTTTGTTTTACTTTTGCTTTTGCTCATTTATTTTACTTTATTTTCCTTTTATTTTTGTCTTTTTGTTTTCTTTTCCGTGGTGAGTTGGTCAGCAGCACAGAAGCAAGAGCGAGATGCATAAGGAGTGACAGTCGAGGCTTCTCCCAGTAATAGGATGCCAGTGGCAGAAGAGTGTGTTCCCCTGCTGTTTTGGGCTGGTGGCAGCAGCAGCAAGGTTCTTCTCCTGGCATTTGGGGCCAGCGGCAGTAACAGCAGCAGCAGCAGCAAAGTTCATCCAGCGATTGGAACCCACGGCAGAGGACTCTTCAAGATGACGGTGCCAGCAAGCTGACATCTGCAGCCAAAGCAGGACTCGTGACCTGACAGCAGCCTGGCAGGCAGCGGAGACAGGAACTCTTGGTTTCAGGATGAGTATGGATTCAGCAGCATCAGTGAAGTGGGCCCAGCGGCAAAGAGATAGCGTCTAAACTGGGGCGATTCCTACATTGGTGGGTCTGGCGCAGGCATAGCGATGCGGTAGAAGTCTCCCTTGAGGCTAGGTGTCAGCATGGAGTGGGTTGGACAAATTGATATTCTGAACTTTTTACTACTTTATTTTTCTAATTTATTCCTATGACCTATAATACTGCACTATTCATTTCTTTACTTTTCTAATTTTTTTTTGTTTCCTAAGAATTTGTTCATAAGTATCTGTGCTGAGGTACTTATGTATCCAGGATGGTGCTGTAATGTGGTAACTGTAAACTTTTCACAGCTTATTTGACTACATGTGACAATGAAGCTAATTCATTTCAATTCAATACAAGTTAACCCATCAAAAATAATTAAGTTTATCAGACAAGATTTCCCTTTCTTAAAACCATTTTATGTTTTATCAATACTGTTTTCCTTGGTAAAAGGGAGATTTGATAAGGATGCAAAATCATGAGGGTCTAGTCAGGGAAAAACAGTTCACACTGATGGAAAGATAATGAGCAAGAGGATATAAATTTAAGATACTCCAGTTAAAAAAAAAAAAATGGGTGCATGAGGAAAAGCTTTCTCTAGTAGAGAGTAGTTAGGATCTGCAGTATGCTTAGCTTGTAATCTTTGTTTTCGGCACGCATTCACAGAATAGTACCCCAATCCTGCTGCTTATATTTTATTCAACTTCAGTCGAGCTACTTCGTCTTCACTGGAATGCTGTTTCCTTTTGTCATCAAGGCG